TCATGAAGTGTTCCAAGTAATTTGGGGGTTGAGATGTGTGCGTATTAATGAATAGTTGTGTGAGTAGTGAATATTTTAATGCCTGTTTTCACGAGTCATGTCGATATATATGTGAGTAGTGAGCGTGTGAGGAAATCTGCTCGCCCCAGGGACCATTGTCACTGCTGACAAGCCCACCTGAGTGTTCTGGTTTTGAAGGTTAAAAGAGACTCTAAATAGCATTTCGGAAAATGATCTTTAGAAACACTTCCGATTGAACTGAAAATAATTTTAATCAACACGAATAAAATTCTGTCTGCAGCGATATTTATCGAATTTTTATAATTATTAACAATTTTTTTTTTCGTTTATTCAGAAAGAATTAACATTAGGTTTGAGGCTACAAAATTCCACTTCTTAATTGTCTTACAATAAAATCTAAACGATGCACTTAGCGTCACGTTACAGAACGTGTGGGTGCTCTGACGATTAAAAGCATCGAACATGGAATCAACGAGCCGAGTTCAAATTCAAGCTGAGTCAGTTTATGTTCACTTCCCACAAACACACATGACATGAATCCAATATGGAGGGATACCTGTCATCCAGCGATGAGTTAGTCCTGGGTATGACGATAAACTGCATCTGGCAGCAAGGCCTCTGATCGGGAGAATGGAGATTTTGAGGAGTGTCGAACAACCTCTTAACTGCTGTTGTCCCTAGATTCACCCTGCCCGGGGTGGTACCACCTGTTAGGGTCCCAGCTATGGGCAAATATTAAACACCGCAAACAAAACCCTATAAAAGTGTAAAAATGCATTTGTATAGTAAAAGTACTAGCAATATATTTTTATATAAAAAAAGAAATTACCAACAATATATTTTATGACTGTTGAAACTTGACTAATGCATGGAATAATAATGCAACACAAAAGGTACTTATAACAAAATGTATTGAAACAAGAAAGTGTACACAATATTTACATATAGTCTTTTGTATATTCCTGGTAAGACCGTCCCTGGAGAATGTCTTGACTTAGTCGCAGTCGGGCAGAGTCTCTGGTTGAATCTCTTGATTCCTCCCTCTCTTCCCGGTACCAACCATATTTATATGGTCGGTCCTCCACTATGTAAATTAGGTGGATCCTACCACAACAATGACCAACAGAATTTTATCTGTAATTGAAGCCATAGAATTATGTTCAAGATTTCGGCATTAAATAACCCATAGAGGTGTTGATATGCCGCTAACGTTCAGTCAAACAACCTGCAGGACAGATATTTTATTCGTTGGCAACCAGACTAGGGGAACAACTCGAAATTCAAACCCATGGAGAAGGAAAAAAGAGAACAGTTCACGGTTCCAAGCACAATAATGGCAATGTAAAGGAAGAAAAAGAAGTTGTGGAGAGACATGATCATGGGGTGAAGCATTAAAAGTTTTATTCTGCTTCAGCGGAGAAAGCAAAAAAAACTGACATCACAAAGAAGAATTATCACGGATAGCGGAAAGTGATCACTCCGCGGGTTGTATAAAGAGTTTAAAATTCTCAGAAGGTTCTTGCTGAATAGGATGGGCACTTGAAGAAAACCGGAGAGTACATCGGTCGAAATGTTCTGATTATAACAAACAAGATTAGGACACTAATCACAACAAGTTAATAATAATAATAATAATAATAATAATAATAATAACAATCAAAGCTAATCGCTAAGACATCGTGATCAAAGACCACGTGATTTCTTATTGACATGGCAATCCCTGCTGTTTGTAATGTGTCTTTGAAGATCTTCCAAAACTATCAAAATACAAGTATCTTGAAGTGGAAATATAAAAAAAAGTGTGGCATATGAGGATATCAGTAATTCCAGTCGTAGTTGGAGTTCTCGGAGTGATTGCAAAAAGGTTTCGATAGACTCACTGAAGGGATTCCTGGTAGCCTATGTCTTAAAGAAATACAACAAAATTGTAATCACAAAGACTGCTAACATATAAAGAGAGGGTGGGTGCTATAACTGTTCTTTTATAGTCCTGAATCAGCGCCACAAAGTAGTCTATGTAAAATGTGTGTGATCTTACTATGTCTTTTTTTTTTTTTTTTAAAAAATGATCAGTGGGAGATGTCATGAAGACATTGCTAATCTTAGGTCTTTGTTTGGGACCCGGAAGGAAATGTCTACAGAACAGAAACCCAAGGAAATAATAATAATAATAATAATAATAATAATAATAACGCAAAAATCAAAGCTAACCACCCAGACATTGTTATCAGAGACTGCAAACAAAAAAGTGCCTCCTTATTGACATGGCAGTCCCTGCAGACTGCAACGTATCTTTGAAGATCTTCAAAAAGCTATCAAAATACAAGGACCTTGAAATCAAAATCTCAAAAATGTGGCACATGGGAATATCAATAATCCCTGTTGTAGTTGAAGCCCTCGGATATGTGTATGTTTTTTGTTTTTTTTTTACATGGTCAGTGGAAAATGTTATGATGCCATTTCTAACCTTAGGTCTCTGGGCGGGACCCGGAAAGAAATGTGTACACACCACAAATAAAAGGAAATAAAATAATAATAATAATAATAATAATAATAATAATAATAATAATAAAATATTTCTGTCAGCAGAATTACACTCTAATGAAATTAAATTATTTTGGTAGGTTTTCATTTAAGCCCACCAAATACTTATCTATTAAATCCGTCAATAATGTAAAAGGTGTCACCTTTAACATTATTATCCAAAGGGGACATACAGATGCGGTCAAACAAGCACGCCCAATATCACGTCTTCGCTCTTTGTAATAACCCCTTCTTTGGCACATAGCCAGCCTTTTCCTGACTTGCTCTCCAGACAGTTTTAGACCCTGTCTATTCTAACTTTACGGGTGAGCCAAAGCCACACCCGCACACCCAGCCACCGCAAAATTGACAGCACATTTAAGAAAATTTCGTGACTTATTTTCAAAGGCGTCTGGTTTAAATCAGTAAAAATGTTTTAGTCTAAGGTTCTTCACTGCCACGGATTTGGCTCGGAAAATAAATAAATAAATGAAAATTAGGGGGGAGAAAAGGAGATACAAAAAAAGAATGGAAAAATAAATGCGTTTAAAAGAAAATCGATGACTTTCGACATCCAAAATTCTCTCTATATATATATATATATATATATATATATATAAGAAATATGTTGTAGTGGTTCCAACGAGAGAAAAGTATGTATATTAAAAAGAAGAGAAGAGAGGTGCCGCTAACGTTTTTGGTTGTAATGTGGATTTATTTAGAAAAAAAATATTATGCTTTGTTTTACATAATTTTACGACACGTGTTTCTGGTCTCGCGACCGTCTTCAGGTAAAAGTGGAGATTTCTACATATTATTAAAAATAATTAATTTTTCTTCATGTTCAATGTGAAATATTCTCGATATGAGACATTCTCTGTTTGTGTGTTGGTAATCCGAATTTCTTTCTAGAATTATGTAAAACAAAGCATAATATTTTTTCTAAATAAATCCACATTACAACCAAAAACGTTAGCGGCACCTCTCTTCTCTTCTTTTTAATATATATATATATATATATATATATATATGTGTGTGTGTGTGTGTGTGTGTGTGTGTGTGTGTATAAATAAAAAGAAAGAACAGTAAGATATATAATCCGTATTTCTATTTTTACAAAATAGTACTCGATGTAAATTTACAGAGCATTAATATTATAAATTAATTGATTTAAAATATGGTTTTATATATATATATGTGAAAATATATAGAAAATAGGAAATAACTGGTTAGGTAAATAATCCAAAGTTCCTTAGTATTTTAGTTATTATTTTTTAAAAATAGTGCTCGATACTAAAGTAGAGCATAAATATAATTATTTATTTAAAAATATGATTCCAACTCGCGACCTATCAACTCAATTTAATTCCAATAATTATATTGAAGTTTTCGGCTCTTGTTTTGAAACATGAGACCTCTTATGTCGAGAGTTGGAATCATATTTTAAATAAATAATATATATATATATATATATATATATATATATATATATATATATATATATATACAGAGCAACCTCGGTTCTTGAACTTCTCACATGTCGAACAAATTGGTTTTCGAACAGAAAATTCGAGATGAAAATGTTTCGGTTATCGAACAACGTTGCCGAACCGAGTTAAACCAAATGGAATCATTTCTGAGTCGACCGCCTTGTTGTATACATTCGTGTATTGTGCCGTGCTTTTCTTTTCTAATCTTATTTTACTGTGACTTTTTCTCTACATTGATTCCTATTGGAAAAATAGTTTCGGTTTACGAATATTTCAGGTTACGAACGGCCTTCAGGAACGAATTAAATTCGTAAACCGAGGTTCCACTATATATATATATATATATATATATATATATATATATATATAATTATTTATTTTTAAAATATGATTCCATATTCATTATTGAAATTAAAATTACTATATAATAATGAATATGCTTATAAAACGCGTAAATTTCAGGAATAAGTTATTCCAGTAAAAAATTTCGCTTGAAGATCGAACAGAGCTTAGTACTTTAATTCAATTTAATTATATTGATGTTTTCGGATCTTCTTTTGAAACATGAGAACTCTTATGTAGCGTGTTGGAATCATATTTTTAAATAAATAATTATATTTATGCTCTACTTTTGTAGACTATATTTTAAAAATAATAACAAAAATACTAAAGTACTTTGGATTATTTACCTAACGAGTTCTTTCCTATTTTCTATATATTTTACACACACACACACACACACACACACACACACACACACACACACACACACACACACACATATATATATATATATATATATATATATATATATATATATATATATATATGCACTCTTAAGCCCTTAAAACTCGTTTCAATATCAAGCTAAATGCTCTCTCATCGGCACCATTCGAATCTTTCAAAACGAGGTAGCGCATTCTGTAGACGCTGGTTAATTCTTGTCGTTTCAACGACTTTCAAATAATGGACATCTTAAGTTACCTCCGACTCTTTCTGCCTTCCTCTTTTTCTCGCCTGCTCCTTTCCCTCTCCGTTTTCATCTCCTTCTATGATCTATATATTTTGGCTCGGACAATAAATAGATGAAAATTAGAGGGAGAAAAGGAGATACAAGAGAATGAAAAAATCTTATATTTTCTCAGACTCGAAATCTTTTCTTTATACAAACAATTTCTGTAACCACTCCCCTCTCTCTCTCTCTCTCTCTCTCTCTCTCTCTCTCTCTCTCTCGTGCATACATACATAAATACTCGTTATCTATTTGTTTTTGTTTTTTTTTCATCTTGTGGATGTGCGGGTAAATAGTTATTGAGAAAATGAAATCGGCAAGAGGAGGTCAAATTCCGGCCTAGACTGTTACGTTCACTTCGAATAAATTCCCTTATAAAAGACAATAATTTCTTTCTTCCCCCGCCATTTTGTTATAGTTTAAGCACCAGGGCAGAATGTGCGTTCTAGTCTTCGTTGTTGACCAGTTGAAGAGAAGGACAATTCTGAATTTACAACCGGGAAATCACTTATATTTCTCATGAACAGTTATAGATATGCACATTTTACATATATCAAGTTGAAGGAAACTGAAGAACTATAATCACCCACGACTCGAAGAGTTTTACCAAAAAGAACTAAAAAGTTTCTCATCTTATTGCTTACTTTGTAGTTATCATTTCAGCATCTACCATTTTATGTCTTTTATTCGCTATTTTCACCCTCAGATGAGGAGGCACGTTGGAGTAATGGTTAGCGGCTCGGATTGAGGAATCGGAGAGCCGAGTTCGCTTTCCAGTCAAATCCATAACATTCACTTACGTGCTAATAAGGTATGAATCCTCTTCTTCTCACCCCAGCTAAGGGGTAAATAGCAGGACAGACTGGGTTCTATAGCCTTAGATGGCAACTGATCTACCGCAGAAAGAAATGGCAACCTACTGCGGGAAAAAATCTGCCTCGTCAGTCATGTATCGAAAGATACATGATCGCATAAGCATGTATCACGCATGGCATATAACTGACTGAAACCCTCAGATGCAAACAATCTATCCTGTTCATTGGCTTATATCCTTTTTTTTTATTTTTTTACCTTTTACAAGGCCTGGGGGCCACTCGAGGTAGATTGTTACGTTAGATAGTAATCTGTGCGGAGGTTAAGATTGCAGTGATCAGTGAAACATCCTCTTGAGAGTCGGTTTATAGAGGATTCGTTCACGAGAAGTAGCTGTTCGAGTGGAACTGGCTTCTCACCAATAGAATACGGAGGGAATGTGGATGGTTTGATACAATGTAAGTGGCATGGCGCGTCCTTGCCGTGAAAGGTTGAATTGTCGGGACTAGGGAATATAGTTCGTCCGAGCACTTTCCGTGGAAGTAGCAATAAAGCAGGGTGAGGCTTGCCACATGTCTTCTGTATCCTTTTTTTTTTTTTGAAATGCTACTCAGTCGGTTATTTGTTTTTATCTGAATACGTTCTTAGAAATAAGAGTCAAAGATTTTGTTACGCCTTAATCTGATATATATCCAGCAACACACAAACATAATAAACATTAACAAAAGAGGAAAATAACAAAATAGTTTTACCGCCTCCAAATTCCACCAACACGAAAAGGCACTGGTGTTAAAAAAAATATGAAAAAGAGGCTAGAGATAATATAAAGGCAAAGAAGCATTAAAAAACGGACAGTATTCAACCAAAAACAACGATCCCCGCTTATGTCAAAATGTCTGAAAAATGCCAGCACATCAGAGTTTCGATTCTACAGACCGCGTATTTTTAGCTATTGCTGTTTATTTATCTATTTATTGTTTGCTTATTTATTTAGTTTGGCAGGGGGGGGATTCTTTTGACCTTTGGTCAAGGCGTTGGTGGAGGCAGTAGGAGCCATATTTAAGAACGATGTCATTGATGTTTTCGTTGATAAATCCCACAAGAAAAGAAAAATATGGAAACTTCCACTTTTCACATCACTCCCACAGATAATGTTTCGTATGCCTGTCAGCCTGTCTGTTTTGTTTATTCCATCTTTGAAAGAAAAGGGACCTTTTATCTTCAGATGAAAAAAAAACGCTTCGCGCACTTTCATTCCTCTTCTTCATCTTCCAATTGCTCATTCGTTTTTTTTACCTTTTGATTTGGGATTTTACATCGTTCCTTCATCTCTTCTTGTTCTTCTTTATTATATATTATTATAATATATATATATATATATATATATATATATATATATATATATATATATATATATATATGCAAATTATATGCAAATTAAAAATTATATATTATTTTTCATTATATATTGCTTCATTAATACGATTTTTGTCATAAATTAATAACCCGACGAAAAACATTTGTCACAATTTTTGGCTTGGTCACCAAATAAAAATGCTTTCAGTTGGTGTAATTAGGAACAGTACTGATTCGAATCAATCGTGTGGATTCTCTAGAAATGGATCATAATAATCGAGTCCCTTTCAATCCTCTCACATGTACAGCAGCACCAGTTGTACATGAAGATCAACTTTTGTTACAATAAGTGGTGGCCCATTTTATGTGGCTCCACCCTTTCCCAGGACTTTCCTCTTTCGTCGCTGTACAGTATATGAATCACCTCAGATGGTACCAAAATAGACTTTGCACTCAGTGTTACACGGATGTGTTAAAGAAGCCAGGTTCACCAGCGTGTTGACCTGAAAGGTGGTCTCCGTAACACCAGGTGAATATCCGCGCCTCACGACATGTGAGTAGCTGCCCCTGCCATGTAAAATAGTTGTTCCAGACGATAACAGGCGTGCCCATCCTTTCGGATGGGCACGCCTGTCATTCGCTGTTATTTGCTGCCATAAAGGAGGACAAATATCACATAACAGCTCAGTACTAATTTCTTTGTTTCCAACGAAAATTTCCTGTCTCTTAATACTCTGCTTAGCTTTTGGAATGCATCTTTGGCCATCAAAATACGTTTTCGGATCTCAGTGTCACACTTTCCGTCCTCTGTCAGAACACTTCCCAGATATTTAAATTTCTGTACCTGCTTGATTTTAGTATCACTGACCTGTAATTTACATTTTGGGCTCATCCTCTTGCTGACAACCATGGATTTTGTCTTCTTGTAGTTTTCGCTTTCTTCGCTACCTTCTGTAGGAGATTTTGTAGTTTCCTTTCTGTGTCTGCTATCAGCACTGTGTCATCCGCATATCTTATATTGTTAAGATCATGGCCGCCAATAATGAAAGTAGCCGTCCGAATTAAAGAGAAAGCTTTAAGTTAGCCCATTGGCTGTTGAGTTGATCAAACTCTACGAGACTAAGACGCACATCACTTAATCCACGATACACAAGCCGTTAAAAAGCACAAATAAGAACAATTAATTTCGGCCGACATGTCGGTGTGGTCACAAATATGGCGGCAACATACCCTGCAGATTTACAAATATAAACAGACCGAACCAAGTAAATACTTATAGACTAAATAAAATATAAATGTTCGAGATTTACCATATCCGAATCAGGCAAACGCTTTCAGATTCAAATATAATCGACCAATATTTATTTAACCCGAAGCTAAATGGATGCCTACCGAATCAATATTTATCTCCTTTTGCCTAACCAATTAAATGCTTATAGACCGCAGCTATAAACCATGTATATGCTTAGAAAATTGAGCTATAATCCAAATGCTTATAGAAGTCAGCTATAAACAAGTAAATGCTTATAGAACTCATCTATAAACCAAGTAAATGCTTATAGAAGTCAGCTATAAACCAAGTAAATGCTTATAGAAGTCGGCTATAAACCAAGTAAATGCTTATAGAAGTCGGCTATAAACCAAGTAAATGCTTATAGAACTCAGCTATAAACCAAGTAAATGCTTATAGAACTCGGCTATAAACCAAATAAATGCTTATAGAACTCGGCTATAAACCAAATAAATGCTTATAGAAGTCAGCTATAAACCAAGTAAATGCTTATAGAACTCGGCTATGAACAAAGTAAATGCTTATAGAAGTCAGCTATAAACCAAGTAAATGTTTACAAATATAAACAATTAATATTTAGTAAATATTGGCCGTTTATATAGGGTGTCCAATAAAAAAAAAAGCGGTAAATTCAAAAAGACGTGAGACAATCGTTGAAAACTGGGGACGTCGGATGTTCTATGAAAAGTACGATAACTTGACGCTGAAAATGAGTGAGTTGCTTAGACATACGAGAAGGGCAGAACGAAAGACGAAAGTCATCTGCAAATAACCTTTAAATGATGCAGTCGATCATGGCTCTCCACCGGTACTTTTCTTTAATTTCTTGGTGATTTGCCATGATGTCGTCACGGGAAAGATAATGGAATGGTTTCCAGTTGTCTTCTCCAGTTTTAAATTCAGACTAAGACTTCCCTGAGTCTGGCTTCCACCCAACGCTAAAGAACTCAGTCTATCTTGCTATGCAACCCATAACTGGATGGGAGAAAAAGATTGATTCATACTTTTCCCATGGACATCTGTGCAAAAGCGAACGCAGCAAACTAGGCTGGAATCTGAACACGGCTCGTCAAATTCACTTTCCTCATGGATAAACTGTTCCACTGCCCACACATCCAGATCGATGATTGACTTGTGAATTAAAACGTTACGATTAAATCAAAGTTTAAAAGATTCTGATTACATTAACGAGTCCAAATAAACAGTTTCTAGATTACTCTCTCTCTCTCTCTCTCTCTCTCTCTCTGGATTGTTAAAAGCCTTCGAACAGAATGATCTTTGCAACACAGCGCGAAGAGATTGTCGTTGTTGGCGAGGTTCATGTAATGATCTGTCTGTCTTTTGCAAACTCATCCTCTCACTTGTTCAGTGTTTCAAATGGAGCTCAACTCACCCACGTAGAGCCCACTTGTTGCTCTTCCTCCGTAATTCAGCGAGCAGAACCGCCCAGGGTGACTGCCAAGCTATAAAATGTCTTCTTTTTTTTTTGTCTGCGTTACTTTGTCTTAGATTGTATTACAACACTAATGGTTTCGTGTGCACAATTATTGGCTCTTCACTGGAAGCCGAACAACACAGAATAATCTCTGACCCCCAGGGCAACGTACAGATTCTCAGCGCGGAAAATGTAAACTATGTATTGAGTTCAAATTCGAGTTCAGATTCAATCAGTGGAGCCCCATATAGAGTGTTTGTAGACGCCGGGATAGGAAGATGTACCGTGGACTTGTGTATAAAGACAATCTTTTTCTTCATCCCCAAGTTTCTATTGCATGGTCTGAAAGAATGTATGTAACAGATATTCTGTTAGATGTTTTTCTTTAAAAAAAAATAAAACTTTTTTTTTCGTTCTTCCGACAATCATCTAGCCGCCGTTATTTTTTCATTATAGTTTATGTAATTATCTGTTTCGACGGCAAGATACAAGTAAGGTTACCCAACACTTCTAAGAGGTCAGGTCAAGAAGTAATTATCTATTGACAATGTTTGATCATTATAGAAATGAACCTACGAGTAAAGTTGCCAATCCTATTGTTATGAATAATCAAGAGTGGTCTCCCCTCGTTTCGATACTCTCCTCTTTGAGAGAGCTATTTCTATTTACTGGGACTATAAAAGGACACTATACGCGAACTTTGCATTCTCAGTTGAATAAAGCTTTCTTAAAGTTTATACCTGTGTACTTTTGTCATTATACCTATAAAAACAAGTCGGGCACCTTGGCTTGCTAGATCAGTTACTACTGAAAAGTGAGTTCGATCCTCACTGGATGCCCCATTCTTTCGGCCTTGTGCCACATCTAAGCTGCGCTTGGAAAATCTCTACCTATAAAAACAAGTGTTAAACTAAATAGAATAATAAAACTGATATCAAAATGAAGTAATTTTATTTCTCTCCAAAATTTACAAGTTTATTTTCCAACATCGTCACCATTTAGTGCTATTAGGGAAGATGAGACTCGAGGCCAATGAGGCATGGTTCTACAGAAGGATGCTAAGGATGCCATGAACCGAACATGTGAGCAATGATGAGGTTTTGGAGAGGATGCAAACAAGGAGGAAACTTATGCTTAACACCAGGAATAGGCAGCTGAAATTTTTGGGACATGTAATGAGAAAGGAGGGCTTGGAGAATCTGATACTCACAGGGCGGATAGAAGGAAAGAGAGACAAGGGAAGGCAATGTGTGACTTATGTAGCAGACTTAAACAAATGGATGACAGAACAGGGTTTGGAAGAAGTAGCAAAAGGACAAAACATATTGAGAACTACAAGGCATAGGGAGAAGTGGAGAACCATGATCGCCTACGTCCTGAACGGACACGGCACATAAAAGAAGATGAAGGGTTCAAATAATAAGTTAGGTTTCCAAACTTTTAAAACGAATATTAGATCAGATAGAATAAAGAAACTGGTATAAAAATGAAGTAAATTTTATAAGTTTATTTTTTTAACATGATCACCATTTAATACCATGAAGGTTGATTGATTTATAAGGTCATCAGTCCTATAGAAAAATAAGCTTGAAACAAGGTAAAATAATGCAACTCGTATCAAATTGATTTATTTCTTTTCAAAATTACAAATTCTTCAACAGTCCCCCATTTAGTACTCGTACAACACATTTTTCCGAATGTTTTATCCAATTTTTCATTCTGTTAAGAATGGTTCTGGCATGCGTTATGCACAACAACTTTAACTTCGGTATCGGATGAAAAATATTGACCAATCAAATTCTCGAAAAACCTGGTACCAAAGCGAGGCTGTACAAATGATGAACAACAACTGGGAATTCCAACGTTTACGCAACGTTTGTCAACTGTGATGCGGCATTTTGTCATGCTAAAAAATGTTATTCTTTTTGGTTTTATTTACAGCCATACAACCATAGCAATAAATTGCTTTCACACGTCTCTGAATTTCGACTGGCGCGCAACATCCTAGTGCCAAAAATTGTTCACTGAATTCAGCGAAACAACTCGTACTTAGTGTTCGCGATTAACGAACGCCATTATAGTGATTTTCCAAGCGTAATGTTTGGGGAATCCAGTGAGGATCGAATTCACTTCTGAGTCATAAATTGTTCAAGCGAGACCCGCTTGCTAACCATTACACCGCCTCGAAGTGCCCTTAATGTCATTATATAACGAAGTGACATTAAACCCGCTTGAACATGACTACTATCGGATAGAGGAACGAACACCTTTCTATTTCTGCTGTTAGCAAAGCCACACAGTAAGAGACCTTAATTATCAATCAATCCTCATAAACTTTCATATGCATTCTTGCAAAACAGGAGTTTTACGAGCACCATTTACATAGCATTGGCCAAACTTAGATGTGACACAAGGCCGAAAGTATGGGGCACCCAGTGTAGTTCGAACTCACTTTTCAGTCGTAACTGATCTAGCGAGACAAGCTTGCTAACCATTACACCACGTCGAGGTGCCCTAACTGAATATGGATGTGTGTGTAAATGTTTAAAAAATTGTTAGATTTTTATCCCAGCTATTTTATTTTTGTTTTTCTATATATCCAAACTCTGATGTAGGCAGACTTATTTATTTGGAAAGTAATTTCTATCTAATTAATAATCACTGTTTTTCCATTTCTGTCCAATTCCACCTCCTTTCTTTCCTCTCTTTCTTTCTTTTTCTGTCTATCAATCTGTCTGTGTGTGTCTCACATAATCACCGTGTTTCCATTTCTAGCCAATCCTTCCTTCCTTCCTTCCTTCCTTCCTTCCTTCCTTCCTTCTCTCTAATAATCATTTTTTTCCATTTCTGGCCAATTCCCCCACCTTTCTTTTTTGTCTGTCTATTTGTCTGTCTGTCTGTCTCTCTCTCCCTCTCCTCCCTCTCTCTCTCTCTAATAATCTTTTTTTTTTCCATTTCTGGCCAATTCCCCCACCTTTCTTTCTTTCTTTCTTTCTTTCTTTCTTTCTTTCTTTCTTTCTTTCTTTCTTTCACTCTCTCTAATACTTTTTCTATTTCTAAGCAATTCCCCCACCTTTCTTTGTCTGTCTGTCTCTCTCTGTCTCTGTCTCTGTCTGTCTGTCTGTCTGTCTGTCTGTCTGTCTCTCTCTCTCTCTCTCTCTCTCTCTCTCTCTCTCTCTATGTATATATATTTATTTATTTTTGTGTGTATGTGTGTGTGTGTGAGAGAGAGAGAGAGAGAGAGAGAGAGAGAGAGAGATTCATCATACGTGGGTCCAATCGACAGCCCGCGCTCAGACTGTCGCTATCAGCCTTACCCTTTCACCCTTTCTAATAATAATCACCCATCAGCTTTTGCGTCAGGAGTTGTCACGACAAAGCTCGGCTCAACTCATTCGTCGACGCAGTTTCATACTTTTTGCATTCAAAAGATTGCAGTCGATTTTTCTTAACCCTTCGGCGATTGATTTTGAGGAGAGACGGAGAGATGGAGAGCGAGGGCAAAGGGTTGGGTCGGGGGAGAAAAACGACTTCTGATAAATGAAATCTGGAAGGACTGAAAGAGCAAGGGGAATGAGAGTGACATTTTGATTGCATATTGCATTTAAAAGAAGACTGCGGGAATTCTTTTAAATTTTCGTCCTTTTTTTCTTCTATATTTCTTATTCCTCTCTATTTCGTCATTTCATTCCATCTTTTTACTCAATCTTTTATTGTCCTATCCAGCACCTAATCTTATCATTCTTTGTGCTATTTCGTTAATGTCCCTCTTTTTTCTTTGTTTGTTTCTTTGTTTCTTTCTTTCTTTTTCTTTCTTTTTCAATCTTTCTTTTCTTTCTTCTCTTTCTTTTTCTTTCTTTTCTTTCTTTCTTTCTTTTCTCCGTCTTCTCTCTATTTCTAGTTTAGATTCTTTTTATTTCTCACTTTTTGATAACTACATACTCTATCATACTTTTTATTCGTGTCTTACTTACTTTTTCGTCGCCATATTCTTCACCTCATTCACACACCCTTCTCTCGCGTCTTACACACACACATATATATATATATATATATATATATATATATATATATATATATATATATATATATATATATATATATGTATAAAAGAAAAGTAAGATATATAATCCGGTTTTCTTATTGATATTTTTATTTTTACAAAACAGTGCTCAATGTAAATTTACAGAGCAATAGTTAATAAAAATGAACACGCTACCACCCCTTGTCTGAATGATTGAATTTCTCTGTATCTTTGGAAAACAGTAAATTATGAATTTTCCTGGGCAGTTAAAACTCAGTAATTTATAAAAAAAAATAAGTTACTCCAAAATTCGCTTGAATATGAAATGGAACTAATGTTTTTAATTTAATTACAAAATTAAATTAGAAATTTTTAGCTTCCATTTTTGAAACATGGTTATTACTGTGTAGCGAAAAAAAACATATTTTAAATCAGTTGATTTATAATATATATATATATACTTAAGTTATGAAGAACTTGGTAATCCGTATGGTTAATCTCAAGGAGGATGAAATACAGAGAACTCAATGTAAATCCAGGTATATATATATATATATATATATATATATATATATAATAAATCCTAATGAGCCAGGTATTACCTACCTAGGTTTCACCAAATGGGATCATCAGGATGAACTGGTTAATGAAGAATTAACAAGGAACAAATTCATTGATAAAATTACTGTTGCAGTTTTTTGTGTATATGTTATGTACTAGTGAGTTAGCCCAAATGACTTGACTCACTTAATAGTCCACCAATAGAAGGTTAACCAATCAGAAGACGTAGAACATTCAATCCGTCGTGTATAAAGGCGGCCATTTTGTTTACCCTACCCGAATGTCCAGTGCCAGCTTGTCAGACGAAGAGATAACAGAAGGACGAACTACGCTCTGCTACTTTTACCAAAATATCCACTGCTAACCTGAACAACGCTTTCCTACTGTCTCCGAAATACTCATTGCTAACGTCTGGATTCTACACTCAAAGACGACCGTCATCATGAACAACAATTACGGTAAAAACCTAAAATTAGCATCAGCCTAAAACGATATAAAACACGTGACTAAAATTTTTTTTAAAAAAAATAACAACAACAATACCCAAACCTTTATTCTAATAAGCAAGCTTTCTTATGCCCGCATCTATTAAGGATTTCTGACGTCTGGTTTGATAAAACTTTTGGTTTGTTGAAGGTAGCTTTTGCTAAGATGTCCTCAATATATAATATACAGAACTTGTTGCCGGTTTTATACTTATTTTTTTAGTATTTCCTATTTTAGAATGAGATCTATTCTATTTTCCTGTTTAATACGCCAAACCTATTTAGATAAGTTATTGTGATATCTATACTTCTCATTCTTGAAGCTACTTATATGATTATAGTAGCGCTTTTAAAAATTGCCTTCAATTGCCACCGAATTTAAATAGATTACATTATACAGTGTAACCCGGATATAAGAGAGTTGTCGGGACCGGAGAAGAAGTTTCTTATATCCGGGTTTCTCTTATATCCGAGTTTGGTCTATTTTGTTTAGGTAAGTATGGCTCTAATTTGGGATCAGATAAAATCTCTTTTATATCCGGGGGTCTCTTATATCCGGGTTACACTGTATATTATATATGCACTAGATTATAGTGCGGATATTTAAGCTAGCTGCTGCGGAGGGGATAATTTGGTACCCGGTCCAAAACTAAAGGGACCTCTGGTCCAGCTTAGACAACAGCAATGATAATTTCGAAGAAATAACTTTGAATTCCTCATTTCGCGCCATGGAACTTTAAAACCTTACTTTAACTTTGATTCGGTCTATAAGTCCAATTTCAGTCAAACGCCCAATTTGGGCACAAACTCCGAGTTGGTCCGAAATTCCCATTCAGGCAAAAAACTGAGTTCTTCAAAACCCAAATTATGTGGAACTTCAAAATCACACGTCACGAAACTTCTCGTATTAACTCTGATTCCTTGGCATTTTAAAGAAATAAAATTAATTTCATCATTTCAAAACGTTTTGGAGATATTTCAAACTGAAAACAAACATTTTTAAATCCGCAAAGTTTGTGGCTGTGTTCATAGTTAATATCATTGAGAGTATAAATATACATAGAACCAGTATTATTTACGTATAAAAAAAATAAAAAGCCAACAGTTAATAATATCAACTATGAACACGGCTGAACGTGTTTGGAAAATAAAACATTCCGATAATCTAAATAAGTCCATAAAACAATCCATAGATTCAGTTAAAAGTAAAAATAAAATCATCCTTGATAATGGCTAAAAGTATAGCCGAAAACATACATACAGAACATTCGGACAATTTCTACATAATTTATATCCAGAAACAAAGAAAATTATAAGAACACAAGAAAAATTAAATAAAAAAACTTAATCACAGTAACTTTTCAGTCATTTTTTGAAAAACTTATATATATATATATATATATATATATATATATATATATATATATACTCGACTCTCCCGTCGAAGTCGACGTATGAGGTCAACAGTTCCTAGGAAACCGACAGCCCAACAACAGAACATAAGATTTGATTATAGTGGTGAAAGATTTCGTGCAGGACCATCCACACTTTTTGAAGGGCCGAATACAGAGACCTGGTGCACTACGTGCCACAAGGTCCCCAAACGACCCTACGAAGGTTTTGAATTCAGAGTTGTCCTTCTCCTAAACCATATATATATATATATATATATATATATATATATATATATATATATATATATATATATATAATAAACACACATTATCCTTACTGCTTGCACGACTCGAAGTTTCATGCACAAAGCGATCTTCGGGTGCTAAAGTATATATACTTAATAGCTATGCTATATTACATTGAGCATTGTTTTATTAACACTATAACTATAAGACCGATATATATATATATATATATATATATATATATATATATATATATATATGCATGTTTCATGAAAATTGTTTTATATTTCCGAGCGCTTTCGGACATTTGGACAATTCTTACACACCCTTTGTCCAGAAAAGAAACCTCTTGCTCGAACACAAGAAAAATTAAATAAAAAGCTTAACCGTAGTACCTTGTCTGTTGTTTTTAATGAAACATGCATAAAGGAAGGTTTGCTGCCTAAATAACAACTATATATATATATATATATATATATATATATATATATATATATATATATATATATATATATATCACTTTCATGGTAATTGTTCGAGAAGCTGCATTCGCTGGTTCCAAGACTTCGCGAATTCAAGCACCCTACAAGGCTGGCATCTCGCTCTCACCCTTTCACTGTCAAAACTATTAAATGTAGCCGCCTCTTCTACTCCAATAGCTTCATATCTCGCACCTCTCGCCTATGGAACTCCCTTCCCTATTCCAGTTTCCCTGAGAGCTATAATCTCCAGCTATTCAAGTGTAATGTCAATCGACATCTCCAGTTGCTTTGATCTATCCACTACCCTTCTCCTCATCCTTTCCTCTATCACTCCTATCTGATCTTGCTCCAAATCTTCTATAACCCCCTTGCGTCCTAGTGGCTTCCCGCCTTGCTTGGGGTGAAACGCTTAAAAATATAATCTCAAAATGATGTACACACACTTTAATAGTTTATAATATCCTCCTAATTCACCGGACCTCTTTAGACCTTTTCTTGTGGGGATAAAAACGGTAATATCTACGCTACAGAATCAACAACAATTGCAGAAATTAAAGTTTCCATAGAGCAAGATAAAAATCTATCTGTCATCGAGCTGTCAAAAGGCTGTCAACATAAATAAACAAGCTACCGTCAAGTTGAAAAGAAGCATTTCTATGAAATTTTGAACTTAAAGTAAATAATAGTTGCTTCAAATCAGATCAGTTATACTTTAAATCAGCTAATATTCCTCAAATAAAGTTTCAGAAAAGTATATTTCATTCTTTTTTATAAAGAGATTTACATTTTTATAACACTTTGCTAAAAATGGAGCTAAATTAATTTTTTTTTTAGAAATTTCCAAATGAAAACTCCTTCCAATCAATTTAAATTAGTTTTGAAATACAGCAAAGTATTTTGATTATTGAACATATTAAATTTAACCTCTCAGCTTGAAATTAAAACTAAAATAAAAGCTTCAAGAAAGATTTTTCATTTTTAAAAATTAATATTAATCGTTAGGTACCGCGTTTTTGTGGAAGTACCTATATATATATATATATATATATATGTGTGTGTGTGTGTGTGTGTGTGTGTGTGTCTGATTGAATAAATTACAAACATTATGTATGCTTATTTTTATCATAATCCTTTCATATTCACGAATATTTTTCCGTAAAAAATTGCACTGTAACAGAAATATGCGTGAATATGAAAGAATTATGATATATAAGCAGATATAATGTAATATAATTTATTCAATCGGGCATGCCTAAAGGAGAATGCCTAAATGCATAAATATATATATATATATATATATATATATATATATATATATATATATATAAGTCAATAACTTTTTCAG